GTCATGTCCTGTAAGCCCCAGCCCCGTGCCAGACTCATCCTCAGGGCCTCTGTACATGAGAATTCCCTCTGGGAGAAAGTTCCTTCCAGGCTTCTATCCTGCCTGATGTGGGGCAGAAACTTTACTTCCACATTGATCTCGAACATACTGCCTCTGACACGCTGTGCTTCTAAGCCTACCCCTGACAAGACTCAGATTTCAGATTCCTCCTTGGTTCCCCCTCCTGCTCTACCAACTGCAGGTCCCGGGCTTGATTCCCGGACCATGACCTCGTTCAGAGCCTTCGGCTCCACCCCGACCCAGAGAGGTGGTCTTCAGAAATGTTTATTTCTCTGTTCTCTATAATGGCGATGGACCATCAATCCATATAATAATGGACCATCATTCCAGAAGAACCAAAACTACAAGGTCCATCAGAACCTATCGCTCCTTTCTCCCCTGGAAGCTGCTCCCCGACCTGCAAAGCATCATGCCTGGGGCAGAAGTATTAAGATGCAGCATCCGTACTAATGCCAATAACCCACAAGCCAATCCTGAGCTCACAAAGCCTATCCCAGTCCCTAGAATCAAAGGCCAAGAAATGCCACTAAAGCCATAGACAATCTTACATGATTCTGAATTGATATTATAAATAGGAGATAGCAGTATAATCACGTACTACCCCAAGTCCACCTTAAATCTTTTCATGAAGAAGGGAGCTGGTCTGTAGTTGAAATGGGATATCTCATAGGTTAAAAAGTCACTAGTTTGGGGGAATGTATTGATTTCCGAGGGTGGCTGTAACAGAGTACCATGAACTGGGTGGCTTAATATAACCGTAATTTAGTGTCTGACCATCCTGGAGATTTGAAGCCTGAAATCAAGATGTCTGCAGGGTTGAGCCCTTCAGAAGGTGTGAGGGGGAATCTGTGAGGAGGCTCGGCCTCTCTCCTGGCTTCCAGGGGCCGCCAGCAATCCTCAGAGATCCTTGGCTCACAGTTGCACTGCTCCAACCTCTGCCCCATCCCCCCTTGGCCTTCTCCCACTGTGTTTCTCTGTGTCTTCACGTGGTGTAGTGTCCTGCAAGGACCCTTGTCATTGGATTTGGGACCCACCCAAATCCAGTTGGCCTCATCTTAAAGAATTCCCTCTGCAAAGTGCCCATTTCTAAATAAGGTCATATTCAGAGATTCCAGTGGACGTACATTTTGGAAGGACACTATTCAGCCCAGTGCTGAATCAACTGCGGGATTAATGATAAACCAAATAGCAGCGATCGGTGTCCAGCAAACACTCAGAAAACCACTGAAATATTTCTGACGATAAAAAAAAAAAACCTCAAGTCCTTGAATTATCTTGATTTTTTTTCTTTTCAAAAATCTATTATGTAATATAATGATTCCATAATACTAAGACCCAATAGTGGCTGAAATATCTGCTGATAGTCGTTGGTTTGGGTGTGTAAAGATGTATACGTCATTTTTCCAAGACTTTCCCAAGAGTCAGGATGGAACATTTCTCCTCAGGACAGTAGACAGCAGAGAGGAGCTGACTGTGGGAAGGTCTTGAAGCTGGTCCCCAGGCAGAGAAACAAGGACAGTCCTCCCACCCCACCCCATCAGCTTCTCTGAAATGACGAACTCTACCGGGGAGTCTACACAATAAAAATCATATAAGAGATCACCTCAGAAAGACCACATATCTGAGGAGACAGGGGGCACACCAAGAGAAGTGACGTAAAACTGAGACCTCTGGCCCCCAGCTGGCCGGGGGAGCTGAAACGGTAGGAGAAGGAAGATGGTACTGTAAGATTCCACGAGTGGAAATGTCCCTCATAAGGCTGATTTTAAAAAAAATGGGCAGCCAATCCACCCTACTAGAGTCAGAAGTCTTTGATTAGATGTGTGGAGGGGAATACTCTAAATTCCAGATTTTTCTTATAAGTCACATTAAAATTCATGCCAAATCCTACGGATCAGGGTTCTAACCTTAGAGTACCAACAGAAGTAGAGCCATATTCAGGGCAGAAGTCTTACCACTTGTTGTACCACAAAGCCAGGAGTAGGCTAGCAGTAAAGGTGAACCTTCCAGAGGCCCCGTTCCTGCAGAGTGGCTCACAGGCAAGCCTGCGGTCCAAGTTCTCGGAAAGCGGGAACGACAGGATGCCTGAGCCAGGTACCTCTACCTGAGTGGGCTCTCTGGTGAGTCCAGCAGGCGGGGGTGGGGGTGGGTGGGGGTTCTCACAGTCTGTCTTTGGGGAGAGCAGCGTTGGGTCATGGGGAGGGCCACCTAGGATCTCAGCGCTCAGTCTGGAAAGGCCCAGGAGGTGGCTGTCCGAAGTCTGGTGACATAGGAGGTCAAAGTCAGGTGATGCTACAACCAAGCACAACCTATAAGGACAACGTCCACCCTCACGACAGGGCCGCTCTCCACGGCACTCACCCTACCTTCCGGGCATCGTGTGAGACCCTCTGTGGTGCCTCCCTCGGGCAATCTCACAGCAGCCTCGTGAGAAGTGGTTTTCTTGGGCAGCCCGGGTGGCTCAGTGGTTTAGGGCCTGATCCTGGAGACTCGGGATCGGGTCCCGCATCAGGCTCCCTGCATGGAGCCTGCTTCTCCCTCTGCCTGTGTCTCTGCCTCTCTCTCTCTCTCTCTCTCTCTCTCTCTCTGTCTCTCATGAATAAAATAAATAATCTTATATATAAAAAAAAAGCAGTAGTTTTCTTCTCCCACCTGTGATAAAGGGAGGATGATAAAACCCAAGTTTTTATGGGGACTAAGTGCAGTTACCTGGAGGACTTAGAACAGCTCCCGGGGTACCTGGTGTCATTTGTGCTATCCACCTGCCTGTCATTACACTTGGGATTTTCCCCCCTGGGGTTCATCCCCTCCGGTGCAGCACCAGCCCCAGAAGACGTTAGGTCAACGAGTTCCCGGCGTGTCAGCGTGCTCCGGCTTCTCACGCCCTCTCCGGGGAGTGGGAACTCAGGGCACTGGGGTCAGAAGGGAGACACGAAATTTCGGTGGAAGAAGCCAGGAGAGGGGGGAGAGGATGAAGACAGCAAAGGTCTGGGGCTCTGAGGTTAGCCAGGGGCCCGCCTCCCCTGGGGCCCAGGCCCGGCGACCCTGGGGTCACGCCTGGGGATGCTAGGGACAGGACCGCCCGGGGCCCGAATTCTGATTCCTCAGACTCCAAACATTCACAGTCGCACCTCGCACGCCACACACCCATCACTGCGCCACACACCACACACCCACACACTAACATATCGCGCATGACGCGTTCCCGGGCCGTCCCTCGCCGCGTCCCACATGGCGTGTCCCTCACGCTCAGTCACACGCGCACAGTCATATGTCCCTTGTCACTCACACGCCACACGCCCACACTCTTATACACTCACAACCACACAACACACACACGTCGCACACACTCTTACGCCCACTGGCACACCTATGGCACATTCACTCATGGATTCTCTCTCCCTCCAGAGGCGGTCGCAGACCTGGAGCCCAGCAGGTGGCAGACGTCCGCTGTGGGACAGCTGTCGGGGATTTGGAAGAGCCCTGCAAGTAGGGCAAGGTGGAGGCTGACCAGAACCGAGACCTCTGGTGGTCACTCACCCTGACCAGGCCTCAGGCCTGCCCCCTCCACCTTGGGCCACTTGGTGGTTGGAGGAAATCAGAACTACCTCAGCTCTGGGCTGCTGGAAACCCAGGTGGGGGTGGGCAGGGCAGGGCAGGGCAGGCTGCCCGCCCCCACACACGTTTCCTCTGCACCTGCTCTGGGCCTCACACGCTACTTGTACCGCGGATGTTGTCGTTTTATGTTTTGGAGAGCATGTGACAAATCTGGCGTGTGGGGGCCGGCGGGCAGCAGTGTGCGCAGGACCCCTGAGAAGCTTTCCCAGGAAGGGGGTGGAAAGGGCCTCCGGCCTCCACGGGCTCAAGAGGCCGCCGTGCCTGGAGGCGTGGACGCTGGGAAGCCACCTGATATGTAACCGTCAGGAATGGAGCCCGGGGGATCTCCTGATAAGGAATAGCCCTGTGCGTCTCCACGTGAAAGGGCCCTTCAAGCACTTCCATGACCATGGCCTCCCCTGGGCCTCCCGGGAGCCCTGGGACTTCTGGAAAAACTAAGGCCCGAAGCTAGCAAGCACCGAGTCAGGACCAGACCCCACATAATCTGACTGGAACCCAAAGCTCTTCCCGTGATACCTCACGACCAACCGCCTCAGTGTTTGTTTCTTCTCCGTCAGTCACTGGGCCTGCCCCGTGGACCGTCAGGGGCTTGAAGGCCATTTCTGCCAGGCTGCCTGTGACCCTAAGCACTGTCGCATCATCTCCTGCTCGGACCTGTGGGCACTGGGCGGTGGCCTGGGCGCCTGCCAGAGGGCAACACCTTTAGGGCACAGCTGGGGGAGATGGGAGGCGGTTGATATGAGGTGCTGGGGAAACTGGGGTTAATTAAGACTCCAGGACCAATGACCAATGGGTGGGAATGTTATTCCCATGTAGTCCCACGTTCATTTTTTAGATAAAGGGACCTAGGCTTAGAGAAAGGGAGGGAATTCCTCAAAACCTGTGGTTAGTAGTCCCACGTAGTAGGTTCTCAAAATAATCTGTCAAAGAAATTCAAGGGCTACCCCCAGCATCTTGTGGCTTCAGGCCTGAGCGTCTATCCACCCGGTCTTCCTCAGATGGAGAAAATTGGTGACAGGTCTCTTTCGTCCTGAAGACAGGGATAGAGCAAGTGATGCGAGCTCACAAGTTAGTGAATCTACATAAAGAAAAAGTGCCCAAGGCAAAGAAATATCATACCTGAGAGTTTCTAATGGTTTTTAGGAGCTGCCTAGAAGCCCTTTGAACCCTGGTGACCCGTATGCACTCAACATAACATGTTTTCTTAATTCCTAACTTCCGCTGTGGTTTGCTGCTATTTTCTTTTTTAGTCTAAGACAAGAGAGCAAACAAGACAAGTTGTCATTTCCTCATTTTCAAGCCTTGCTCCTCGTGAGGCCAGAGATCTCTTTCAAGCTCCAGATTGTAAAGATTTCCTGGGTGAGCAGGGGGTCTCTGTTCCCATCTCCAGGGGCTCTTGGATGGGACCTTGCTCTGGAAGGAGCCATGGACCTCTGGCTTTGGTCACTTTGCTTCTTGCCAGGTAAGTGCCTGGGAAAACACTGTGCACGGTTTATGAGGTTCGAATTTGGCCACAGGTAGGGGGGTTGTGGGTCATCTCTGGCTCTGACGTCCCTGGACAGATTTAGTGGCAGACCAGACTAGGATGGGATCCGGATGGAGACCACATGAAGTTTGGGGAGCCTCCCCCGTTCTCTGCTAGAGCCCCTCTCTCCACTCCAGACACATCTCCTGCGGGGCGATGTTGACTCAAGGGCTGAAGGTGTCACCTCTCCTAGACATCTTAGCCTGATAATAGGGGATCTTAAGGCAAGTGCCTCCAAATTCCTTTCTTCCTACCTCTACCGTCTCTTTCTTTGAATCTCTTTTGCTGCTGGTTTTCAACTTCAGCTTTTTTTTTTTTAAGATTTTATTTATTTATTCATGAGAGATACAGAGAGAGGCAGAGACATGGGCAGAGGGAGATGCAGGCTCCCTTCAAGGAACCCAGTGCGGGACTTGATCCCGGGACCCCAGGAGGCAGAGGCTCCACCACTGAGACACCCGGGCGTCCCCCAGCTTCACCTTTAAATGAAGACTCCCTCACCCGTTCAGTAACCCTCATCCGTTCCCCAAGTTCCATACCACTTTACAGCTGTCTTCTGGGAACTTCCATTTCTATGTTCCACCAAGATCTGAAATGCAACATGCCTAACACCTCACTTCAAATTCCTATCCATCCTAACTATCTCTAGTATCAGCTGAGAAATGCCAGAATGTTTTTTTAATGTTTTTTTTATTTTAAATTCCATTAATTAACATATAATGTATTATTGGTTTCAGAGGTAGAGGTCAGTGATCACCAGTCTTAACATAACACCCGGTGCTCATGACATCACAGGGTCTCCTTAATGCCCATCACCCACTTACCCCATCCCCTCACGCCCCTTCCCTCCAGCGACCCTCAGTTTATTTCCTATGGCTAAGAGGCTCTTATAGTTTGTCTCCTTCTCTGATTTCATCTTGTTTTATTTTTCCCTCCCTTTCCTTACGCTCTTCTGTTTTATTTCTTAAATTCCACATATGAGGGGCACCTGGGTGCCTCAGTCAGTTAAGTGGCTGCCTTCAGCTCAGGTCATGATCCCGAAGTCCTGGGATCAAGCCCCACATCAGGCTCCCTGCTCAGTGAGTGGGAAGCTTGCTTCTCCCTCTCCGTCTGCTTGCCACTCCCTCTACCTGTGCTCTCTCTTTCTCTGTCAAATAAATAAAATGTTTTAAAAAATTTCCACATACAAGTAAAATCATATGATAATTGTCTTTCTCTGACTTATTTCCCTTAGCATAATACCCTCTAGTTCCATCCATGTCATTGCAAATGGCAAGTTTTTGTTTTTTTTATGGCTGAGTAGTATTCCATTCACCATGTCTCCCCATTTATCCCCACCCAGACTGTGACCCAATCAATGGCCAATTCATGTCGTTTCTGGGTTAGCATTACCAGAATGAGCAGCAGTGGCAGTCTCCCCTCAAGGGAATGGAAAGGAAAAGAACAGTCATCCCCACTTCCTCCAACCTGACCCACCTGTGGCTCCAGCTTACGCTTTCTAATGCTTGACTCTGACCGCAGGACTGCCCTTCCCAGCAACCTTCAGTGGCTCCCACTGCCTACAAACTCCTCCCTTGTGCTCCTCATTTACCCTCCGACCTTACCACCCTCCCCTGCACTTTCTTAACCTCCAGCCAAAGAGGACTTCTCCTTGAACATGTGCTAGGACATTCTTGCCACGGTGTTTTTACTCATGCCATTCCTTCTGCTAGGAACATCCTTCCTCTCATCGCCACCTTTTACCCTTGAAAGTCCACCTCAGCCTCCACCTCCTTCTCATACACTTTCCAGAGCCCTATCTTCTGAATCCCCGTAGCGGGCCTCATTCTGCTTATGTTGTGATTTGGCGTCTGTTCATCTTGTTGATTAAACGATAAGCTCGTTGAGGGTCAAAATTATTTTTTTATTCCTATTTGCTTTCTTCCTGATGTCTTGAATATGGAATAAAGTCAAATATTTGTTGAGTGGAAGATTAAAAATCCCTAAAAGTCCAAGGAAATGCAGCTTTAACGAAATGTCAGTCTGAGAGGTGGTAGTAGGGCTCATGTGAACACAGTGGATGGTTGACCTAAACGTAGGCCTGAGAGGAGAGAGGGGTTGGGTGGGGGTCAAAGACTCTAGGAATGAAGAGTACTTAAATTGTACCACCTCAGTCTGTCCTGAGCAATACCTCCATTCTAGCTGGGCCAGAGGGATCCTTGGTCTGGGTCTGGTCCATCTCCATTTGTAGCCTTTCCCACAGGGTGAGGAGTTCACAGGCCCAAGGAGATTGTCCACTTTGAGCCTGCACCCATGTCCCCTCGTCTAGGCCTCAAGTTTCTTGTCCAAATGACTATGGGCCCACTTTTAATGACTATGCAACCTCTATCCTGGGTCTTCTATCCTAGAACTCTAATTCTATAAAAGGGTGGCCACAAGTGATCATTTGGAATAAGATGGGAGGAGCTAATACATGTCAGCTGGGTTATCTGCTGTGTGCGTACCAGGATCCTTGTGGTGTGGGCAGGAAGAAGCATTGAGAAAAGAAGGCAGAGGGGACAGAGGCTAGGAACAGGAAATATTCTTCCCACCTAGAAATGATTCGGAGTGGACATCTAAAAAGTGTGTGAATTTGCCAAGACGGGGCATAGAACACATTTTATTCAACAGTTCATTAACTTGGTTTATAACTTTAAAATACTTACATGTCTGATGTTTGGGCCTTTACCTGTATTTCTGCCCCAGCTTGTACCAATTTGGGGGGTGGTCCTGGTTTCCAGGGCCCAGTGCATGGGGCCCAAGCCGTAGACCACATTGGCTGCCTCCCTAGATGAAGCTCCATAATAAAGCAAGGTGGCGTTACGTGGTGTGGACTTTCAAATCTTTTTTTTTCACCTTGACTCAAAAAATGATAATACATACACTTGATGTTGTGACCCGTCTGTGCATGTGTGCATGCGTGCACACGCGCATCCACGCACACACACAAACCTAAAATTTATTCTTGATTCTTTAATACGATGTGGGAATGAGTTTTGGACGTTAGCAGTTGGATGGATGCTGGTGTTATCCCCTGAAACAGGAAGAGCTTAGAAGGAACAGGTTTTGGAAGAGAAACCAAGAATTCTTCTTTTTTGTTTGTCTATTTGTTTTGCCTTTGTGAGTTTGAAATATATCTTAGATGTTCAAGTCGAGTCCAGGTGGAGCTATCAGAAAGGTGATTCCAGAGCTCAGAGGTACAGACAAGACTGGAGAAAAATATTCTGGTGAAATCTATGAAGAGTTGGCATTAAAGCCATGGGAGTAAAGGAGCTAGTGCAGGGGGAGGAAGGGAAGATGCAGGTGAGAACAGGCCCAAGTTCCAGGCCCTGGGGCAGCCCAACATTGAGAGGTGGATAGAGAAGGAGAAGAAAAGAGTGTGGCATCAGGGAAGCCACAAGAAGCAAGCATTTCAAGCAGTTCCCTCAGATGTTGCCAAGAGGGCACGTCAATGACTTGCCACCAAATGTGGCCACAAGGAAATTTCTGCTGACCTTGACCAGCCATCCTAGTGGAATGTTGGAGACAAAACTCTGACAGGTGTTGGGTGAAGAGGAAGTGGGAGGTGTGCAGGTGCAGGTGGATTCCATGATCACAAGGACGCGTTTGGGAGAGCGAACAGAGGAGGGGAGAACAGCAGCTGAAGGGAAGGCAAAAAGTGAGAGGGGGGCTTTTTCAATATGTGCAACATCAGAGCAAGCGCGTAGGCCACAGCGGTGCAGGCAGAGAGGAGACCACCGGTACACGGAGGAGAAAGGGACAGGGGCGCAGGAGAAGGTCTAAAGAACGTGACTCAGGATAGACTCGGGACGCAGGAGGAAGGACTGGCTTTTGGGGGGAGAGGGGACACTCCGTTTCTTGTGACAGGACAAAGAGCAGACAGCCAGCCTCGACACATGTGTTGGCATATGTGGGGGTGGGAAGTTGGGGAGGACGTTTCTCATTCTTTTTTAGAAATTCACACTCCATGTGATAAACTTAAAAACCTCGAGCTAACTTCCTTCTTCCAGAAATAATTCTGCTCTAAGTTGACAGGGTTCTCATCTCCTGGAAAACCATCGCTACGTAGAATCCAAAGCCCAGTCTCCAGAGCACCACCCCAGCCAAGGCCTGTGGGCATTTGCCATGATTCTCATTATGGAAATATGGAAATTTTGTGGTTTTCCCTATGTTCCAAATATATATCTTTATACCCAATTACGTACTGAGAGTGACTTTTTAAACAGCATGTATCCCTGTCCCCTACCATCATCATGGAAAACCAAGTCACCAATTTAGAGATTAATGTCACTTACTGAATAGCCTCTCTAGAATACCAATAGTAAGCAGGGTGGGTCCTTTGGGTACCTCTCCCACCCGCCCTTTAGTCCCCAGAATCATTTGCAGCTAATAACCACATAGTTCAGAATTGCAAAAATTCAAGGGTACCTGGGATGCTTATTTTAAGGAAGGCACATGATGTCCTGAGCACTGGGTGTTACGTAAGACTGATAAATCACTGACCTCTAGTTCTGAAGCCAATGATACATTTTATGTCAATTAATTGAATTCAAATAAAATAAAATAAAATAAAATAAAATAAAATAAAATAAAATAAATGAAATGAAATGAAATGAAATGAAATGCAAGTCCACAGGCCCCACCCTACTTGGATGTAACCACCTTGCCAAAAGGGAAGATCAAGCCATCTGTAGCCTAGTGAGTTCCTCCCACATGAATCCTGTGCACACTGTGCATTAAGTTCCAAACCAGGAGATATTCTCACTTTTCTCTCTTTGGGAAATCTGCTTCTCTGAGCGTTGGGTATGGGTTAGAAGGTGCCACGAACTCCAAGGAGAGCTGGGGTCTGATCATTTCGCATCCCGCCAACTCGTGCTTCCTTGGGGCCAGAGCTCAGTGTACCCAGCAGCTTTTCTTGTGTTTCATCCATTCAGAGTTTGCACAGTCTGGCTGCTTCAGTGAACTACCATAGACAGCGTGACTTCAACAGTAGGTATTTCTTTCTCCCAGTCCTGGAAACTAGAAGCCCAAGATCAAGATGCCAGCCAATATTGCGCTTGGTGAGGGTCCTCTTCCTGGCTTATAGACAGCCACCGTCTCCCTGGGTGCTCGTGTGGCCTCCTCTTGTGTACAAGGAGGGAATGAGGCCATGAATCCCATTATGAGGGCTCCACGAACCTCATCTAACCCTGATTATTTCCCAAAGGCTCCACCTCCTACTACCACCACACTGAGGGTTAGGGCTTCAACACCTGTGACAGAGGGTCTGGGTCAGCCAGGGCTTTACCAGATCGTCCCTGAGCAGAGTGAGGTCACTGAGGTGTCTGCATTGGTGGACACCCCTCGCTCCCCTGCTCCATCTCACCCCTGCCCACACTGTAGCATCTTGCTCTTGGGAAAGTGGTATTTACTCCCCTTGCTGGCGGAGATGGTCTAAAAATACATGTTCACTGGCAGGTGCACGGCCTTGCACCCAGGTGTGGGCTGTCTGGACGCACAGGGTAATTCCCCCACCCCCTGGATTGCGTCTTTGTCTTTTGAATGGGTCACGCTCTACCCATGAGGCTGCCTCACACACCTCAGTTTCCAACAGATTACCACGTTAACACCAGCTACACTCTGAGTTTTGAACGTGCCCCAGCAAATGCTCCCTTCACGGCCCCTCTGCCCTGGCCTGCCCACGGCCGTTCCTACCTCTTCACTGCTGCCCACACGTCCTCCTCTCCCCAGACGTCCTCCTCAGCTCTCTCTGCTCACCCGGGAGCCTCAGGCTCTGCTTCTCTCCTTGACTGTCCTCATCTCTCTAAACTCGTTGGAGCTATGCTCAATGTGTGGTCAGTGAATGAATTTCAAGACATTTGTTGGCTCCTCTTTGCCCCCCCACCCCCCAACATGCCATGTTCTTTCTCATATCCCAGCCTCTTTGGGGGCCGTACTCACTGCCCAGAAGAGTCTTTCTTCCTCCACTCAAGTCCCCGGGCCTCACTCCAGCACACACATGTCACCCCATGCCCCTCTTCCCAGAAATATGTGGACACTGATTGGGACCCACTTGGGTGATAGTTCATCATACTTGGACTTACCTTCTTCTCCAGCTGACTCAACCGCATTAGACCTGCCTTTTCTCAGCCAAAGCGTGAGCTTTTTGATTTCAGGGGCTCACGAACCATGCATTTATTCCTCCCTGCTTCACACCCTCCCTAACACACATGCAGTGTGCGTACACCTGTGCACACATGCACGCACTCACACACACCCTTGTGTTCCCTACTTCAGTGAGGATGATCATCGTTCTCTCCGCTGCCCTCCACACTCAGTCTTTCAGGTCACAACTGAGATCACTTCTTCCAGAAACCCTTCCTCAGACCCTCAGACTGCACTATTCCTCTGCAACAACCTGGTCCTGGGGTCTCTGCTGTTTCCAAGGAACACTGTGTATCTCTGTCGTGGAATTTATTACCCTGTGCTGTGTGACTGTCCACGTCTATGGCCTGCTAAATGATTTATTATGTGCAAGGCAGGGATGCCAGCTACCTTCCTGCCACATGAAAGGCACTCAATAAATGCTTTTTTTTTTAATGACTTAAAAAAATAAAATCCGAGGGTGAACAGTCATTTTGGCTGAGTGGATCTGAGCAAAATAAAACTAGATAGAAAACCTCTTGCAGCAAAAAAGCACTGTGCCTCCCAATGCCACACTGAAGACACTTGGGCGCTACGTGCTGTTTGGGGTCACCATGGCACAGCATCTCTTCCTGGGGTGGGCCAGGAGGTTTGACTATATTCTTAGGGGGTTGGTGTCTGGGATCTTATGGGTCTGGGTCTGAATGAAGTTGAGGGTTAGGTTAAGGCTTGGGCTGGGAGAGGTCTGGCTGGGCCAGGCTTGGGCAAAAGGGACCAGGGCATAGAGCCGGGCTGAGGGTACATGTAGGGTTAGGGATGAGAGGGGGGCAGAGGATGAGGCAAGGGCAAGAGATCAGGAGGGGGCCGAGGCTGAGGGCTCACTGAGGCTTGGGCTGATGATGGAACTGGGGCTGGAGCTGGGGAGGAGTGTGGGGCTGGGCTGGGGCCTGGGTTGGAAGTAGGGCTGGAGTTGGGGATGTGGTTGGGCCTGCAGCTCCCTCTACATGAACTCCCTCTCCCTGCAGTGGCTGGGGCTCTGAGGATCCTCCCAGAAGTAAAGATGGAGGGAATGCTGGGTGGATCCATTACCATTGAGTGCCCACTTCCCCAAATGCACGTGAGGCTCTATCTGTGCCGGGAAATAGCCGAATCCGGAGTATGTGCCACCGTGGTATCCAACAAGAACTTCGTCAAGGAAGAGTACAAGCACCGAGTCACCCTGAAGCCTTATCCAGATAGGAAGCTGTTCCTAGTAGAGGTCACCGAGCTGACCAAGAGTGACAGTGGCATCTATGCCTGTGGAACCGGCATGAACACAGACCGGGGCAAGACCCAACAAGTCACCCTGAGTGTCCACAGTGGTAGGTACCCCCGGCTCAGTGCACCCAGCAAATGTCCCCACCTGGGAAGGCTGGCACGGCCATCAAAGTAGAGCAGTCCCCAGACTCTCCTGCTACCGCCATGTCAGCCAGTCCAAAGATGATCGGGATTTATAGAGTAGAAACCTCACAGTCCCCAAAATTTCCTATCCGAACCATAGGAAAGGAACAAGACAAGCGCTCTCCTAGTGTTGTTCCGGATCCACCCGACCCAAGGTCTGAGGGCACTGGGGGCTTTAGATTGAGGAGAGACTCCGAGACAGGAGGAAATCGGAAGCAAAGGGGCATAATTGTCCTACATAGTCGTCCTGTGAGAAATATCAGGGATTTCAAGTCACATTTGTAGGCCAGACTTGGCACTTGATAATCTGATCCTTTCCATATATCTTCTCCCAAATCCCATCTTTCTCCCTGCCTCCACTGACTTTCCAACTCCTAGGCAGCACCAAGTCAACAACCTAGAATCCCAGTGGCCTCTGGTGCCAAGGCTGACCGAGGGGGTGGGGGGTATCATGAAAGAGCGTATCATTCAGGGAAGTCTCCAGCCCATGGCTTATTCGGCTCTTCCTGCTGGACTCTGCCCCCAGCCCCTCGTCCTCCTCACCGCCATCCACCCTGGCTGAGCCAGCTTCCACTCCTACCAACGTCCCTTTCCCAGGCCTGTTCTCGGAACCCACCAGTGTTTCCCCCTCCCTTTGCCTCCACAGAGTATGACCTATTCTGGGAAGAGGAGCCGATGCCTGAGCCTCCAAGTTGGTTTCATAAATTCCTACACATGCCGATGCCCCCTTGGTTCAAGATGCCCCCACCTCCCAGTTCTTTCGAATTCATCCCTAAAGGTCAGTTCAACAGAAGCCAGGGTAGGAGAGGGGGAGGGAGAGATGATGTGGCATTGTGGCAGTGGAGGAGGGGGGACGTGTTCGGTTCGCGGAGTGGTTGCAGAGCACAGGTGAGTCTCAGATGGGTACTTCCCTGTCTTGGGAGAGGGTACCTCTCTGAGATTAGTGTCCTATGTGCTTCCTGCCCACCCTTAAAGCCTGGTCAGGACTAGTTGCAGGACTGAACACATCACCACCAGGTGGCACCACAAGGAATGAAGTTCGTGCTTCATTCACAAAATCTTAGGTCTCTATGAATGACCTGTGGAAACCCAGACTGGGCCGACCTCTTCCCGCCACGGTCCCTCATGCCTCCTGCCCATAGGGCTGTCTACGTTTGCTGGAATACGGTGATTTTAACAATTCTGTTTTGCAATAAAAAGACCGATGACCTTACCAAGGGTACCTTTACATCCTACATTCTTTTCCTGTCTTAAATGCATTTTGACAGGCAACTATCTCCATCATATCCTCCCGTCTATCTTGTGAGGGTAGATACATTAATTGAACAATTGTCACACTAGAGGACTCTGCTGGGTGCCAAGAGGGATAGTGTAACCGAGCATCCCATATACCCACGGTTATGACTGTCAGGCGTGGGATGAAGGAGAATAGCCAAGCACACACATACGGCATAAAGCAGGGGAGGGATGGAACTACAAATAGGGTTTTCTCCATGCTCAGAGGAGGACAAGCTCCTCTGCCTGGGAGGTCAGAGAAGGCCTCTTGGAGGCAATGGCATTTGAAGCAAATATACATAGAATTTAGTTGGTGTAGAGGACGTATTGAGAAGGCATTTCAGGCCGTGAGGACAGTCTAGGTGAAGGGAAAGAGTGTGTTCCAGAAAGGGAGGGTGACCCAATCCTGCTGGAGACTACAGAGTGTGTGGAGGGAAGGTCACTTTTCCCCTGTTATCTCCTGCAGTGGTAACCCCAGCTCCAAGGACCGAGGCCCCTCCAGCAGTTCACTCCTCCTCCCCGATCCCAATCTCTCACCACCTTCGAGTTTCCAGAGCGTCTTCAGTAGCAGCTTCCAAGCCCCCAACCCTCCTGCCCTCCACCACAGCCTCAAAGACCTCAGCCCCAGAGGCGCTGCCGAGGCCCCAGACGGCCAGCTACAACTACCACACCAGGCTTCACAGGCAGAGGTAAGAGGTCTCCACCCATCCAGGAAGGGCTAGAGGTCAGGCAAAGGAGTCTAGAGTTAGAAGATCCCCTGAAGTCTTCCTGCAACGCCCGCCATCCCAGACCCTTCTTGGCTCCAGGCCACTACCCATGAGTGTAGCACGTTACTTCGTTCGTCCAATGACAAGAATACACTTGTCCATGCCCCAGCAGAAGATCCTGTAGAAATGAGACCCGAATCTTTAAGTCCCTCAGCGTTCATTCAGATCCGCCTTGAGGGGGAATCTAAATAAAAATAAAACCAACAACGAAACTATTAACTATTAAAATCCACTTCACCTGTTTTCTTTCACTTTTTCAGTGTGGCTATTAGGAAATTTGAATTGCATCTGTGACCTAGTGTTTCTACTGAACAGCACTGGCCTCAAGGCTTGGGCACACCCAGGAAAGTGCTGCAATGGACCCCCAGGGGGCAGCATTGGCCCAGTCTCCAAAGAGAACCTATAATAATTGGAATTATTTTTGCCTAAGCAAAGACAAGCATGTTAGCAAGAAAAGAGACCTCCAACATCATTTGGGTTTTAGAGGTGAGGAACTGAGGTCATGAGAACTACGTGGCCTATATAGAACCAGGACTCCTGACTCCTAGTTCAGTAGACTGCACCAGCCCATCAGTGGTCAAGAATCCAAGTCAATTCAACCAACATTTTTTAAATTAATTAATTTATTTATTTGAGAGAGAGAGAGAGAGCACAAATGGGAGGGGCAGAAAGATAGGGAGACAGACTCTCAAGCAGACTCCCTGCTGAGCGTGGAGCCTGACATGGGGCTCGATCAAGTTCACGACCCTGAGATCATGACCTGAGTTGAAACCAACCGTGGGACGCTTGGGTGCCCCTCAACCAATGTTTGCTTAGTTTCTACTACCTGCCAGGCATCGTGTTCCATCCTGAAAGTGTAAGAAAGATGAAAACATGCCGTAACCAGGTCTGATCTTACTAAGGCCCGTCTGACTGTGATGAGGGCGGTAGCTGGTCTAAACACAAGAACTGAGGACAGTGAGAGAGAAAAAAAAATTGATTCTAGTTTGTCATGATTGCAAAAGAAAAGAGAACTCATGTACTGAGGTTTCAACCTGTAGAGCAAACAGACGGAAGACCTTCTAAGATGAGGGCACCCCATGAGACAAACATCTTTTTCCACAGTTATAAGAAACTTAATTTGTTTAGTCTTTGCACTAATCTTGTAAGAAAAGTGAGATGCAAACAATCAGAAGGGGAACTGACGTCCGATTGCCGCCTGGACCAGGTGCTTTCACTTCTTTATATCTACAATTTTGTTTTGCCCTTTAACAGTTCTGTGAAATAGGTTTTACTATACCCATCCCTGGAGATGAGGTTCGGAGACGTTCGGGGACTGATTCAAGGTCACACAGCCAGTAGACAGCTGAACCTGAATCTGAATCCAGGTTTCGTGACTCCGTAGACAAGGCTCTTTGGGGGAGAGGGGCAGGTTTTGTTAGCCAAGGGACAGACCTGTGAGCCATCTCCAAAACAGCTGGCTACCCAGGAGTGCGGCCTTAGACCTCCCTCCCTCCCAGACCTCACCCTCCCTCTCGCTCTGCTTCCATCCTCAGAGCCTTCCACCAGGACCCCGTGCCTGGGTTGGAAGACCAAGGATTTCACATCCTGGTCCCCACCACCCTGGCCCTCATCCTGCTGGCACTGCTGGGGCTGCTGATGAAAAGGGTCATTCAGAGGAGGAAAGGTGAGCGACTCCGGGCTCGGGCTCGGTGAGGGCGGGGTGCGCGCCGCCGGAAGGGCCCAGAACATTCGGACTCCGCTGGAACCCCCCCACCCCCACCCCTTGCAGGGGACACTCGGGAGCTTCAGCTGAGCAGCCTGGGGCAGGAGGAACGTGGGAGGGGGTGCGTGATCTGGAGATGGGGGCCGGGAGGGCGCCTGGCTCCGCCGGTCTGCAGAGGGCGGCAGGGCTGCGCCTTACACCCTCCGAGCACCTCCTCTGCAGACCCGGCCGGGCCGGGGAGGGAGCCCCGAGGGCGCGCGCGGTGGCCGCGGGCCCCTGACGCCGTTCTCCTCTTGCCCCGCGGCTTCACGGGGCAGCCCTCTCCAGGCGGGCCCGCCGCGCGGCCGTGAGGATGCGCGCCCTCGAGGCGTCCCAGCGGCCTCCGCCGCATCGGCCCCGCGGGTCGCAGCCGCCGCGCTCGCAGAACAACATCTACACCGCCTGCCCGCGGCGCGCTCGAGCGGGGGACGCGGAGGGTGAGCTGCGCGCTGGGCGCGTCCCCCGGGGACGGAGGGGCGGGGCGGGGGCGGGGCGGGGGCGGGGCCAGGGCCTGGCGGGGCTCGGCTGGGGGCGGGGCCGGGGCGGGGCCGGGCGGGGCGGGCAGGAACCTCGGGCGCGCTGCAGCCGCAGAAACCCGCGCCTCCAGGATCGCCCCGCGCCTCCAGGATCGCCCCGCGCCTGGGCGCCAGCTCGACCTTCCCCGGGCTTCTGGGGGGCCGGGCGGGCCGGGGGGCGGGGCCAGGGCCGGGAGGGGGCGTGGCCATGCCTGACAGGGGCGGGGCGTACCCGAGGCCACGCCCTCACCTCCGTCTCCACGTCCCCTTAGGCGTCCCTCCTCTCCCAGGCTCCCGACCCTCGGCGCCACCTGTCGCTCCGCAGGTAAGCTCCGCCCCGCCCCTGATTGGCAGCCGCGGCCCCAGACCTGGGTGGGGAGGACCGCGGGGGGCGGGGGGGGCGCGGCCTGTTAGCCGAAGGGCGCGGCTTTCCCAGCAGCTCCAGTCTGGGAAGAGGTGGCGTCAGTTTCCCCGGACCGCCCCGCAAGTGTAATAGGGCTTCGCTACCGGCTTCCGGGGGCTGGTGGGGTGAGCGCGCGCTCAGCAGGGCGGTGGATGGCAACTCTACAGACAAGCACTTGCGCACGAGAGCTGCGATCGCCAGGGCCTTGAGGGATTGGAATCTACCCAGTTTCATCTTAATAGGAGGGAGAACTTTCTAGTAAACCCTGCAGGACGAGAGGAGGTAGTTTGCCCATCACTGGAGTTTGCAGGAAGCCTGGCCTAGAGGATGACTTGGCAGATAGATGTCAAGATGTAGATAGGATTCAAGGCTTGGGTGAGGAGGAGTCCCCTGGAAATGTAGGAATGGACATAGGGAGCTCCTGTTCCTATCAATGGCCGTTGGCACATGGGTAAAAAGTACTCAAACTGTCCACTCATCTCTGTTGATCCAAATTATGAAGAGAATGTATTGTATTCTCTAAAGTAGCCCACAGTAGATAAACACTACTACTACTCTTGCCTCGGGAACCGGGAAAAAACTAAGTGTGGCAAATGTTCTGGTTTCATTTAGGGCGTAGACTAAGCTAATGCACCAGACCCTAAGCCACAGAGCTCACAACACGGAAGCCTGTTTCCCTCCCAAGTTAAGGCAGGGGGCCAGGAAGAGATGGAGGAAGCCACCAGGTCACCCAGGGACTCAAACACCTTGTCTGGTTGCTCTACTGTCCCCTGGAGTCTTGCCTGGTCCACCGTCCATACTCAGTCACCAACACCCATGTCTACATTCCAGGCCATAAGAGAAAGAGAGAGGGACCGTGGACCATAACCCCGAGGTTTCACACATCACTTCCAGTCACGTCCTACTGGCCATGACTTAGTCATGCAACCACACCTATCTTCAAGGGAGGCTGAGAAATGGAGTCCCTAACCCGGCCATGGTGTGCCTTATTAAAAAGAGACAGTGATCCCCAGTAACAAGTAACAGCTCTGCCACAGTCACCGCCAGCTTCTTGACGGTGTCCTCCCGCGCCCCTGCCAGAGGAGGTTCATGGCAGCGTAGGCGTGGCCCACGGCACCCTCTACCTCTACCCCAGCCCTTTCCCCTTGAACCTCCCTGCAGCCGCATACACCCTCGCCTGAGCCTGTACCTCGCTCAAATCTTACTCTTCCTCCCTGCTTGAAACTCTCATTCCCACTATTAGCAACAAAAGTCTTGATGGAACCAGTCCACCACAAGGTGTGGATGGTTAATGCCTCGATATTTTAGCTTTCACAGGGCATCTTGATTTTTCAAGCAGGATAAATTAATCTTAAATGATGAAGTGTAACAAGCAGTAGAAGATTATATATATATATATATATATATATATATATATATATTTTTTTAAGATTTTATTTATTTATTTGAGACAGAGAAAGAGAGAAGCACGAGCTGGGTGAGGGGAAGAGGGGAGGAGGGAGAAGCAGACTCCCCATGGAGCAGGGAGCCTGATGCAGGACTCGATCCCAGGACCCTGGGATCATGACCTGAGCTGAGGGCAGGCACTTAATGGACTGAGCCACCCAGGCACCCAGAGATGTGTTCTTGAAGCAAATTGCAGCTCATTCCCTCTCTGGCAAAGTTCACAAAGTAATAGCTGCTTTCCATGGCTGAGCACTTCCCGAGTGCTCACTGTGCTCATGGGGCTGGACTTCTGTCCTCAGCTCTTGTGTTTCAATAGGGCGACTCTCCCCACCGAAGCCTTTCTTGGGTGGATGCCATAATAACTGTGCAGCGTTGGAGTCACGGCACAGTCCCATCCTCCCAAGAACTGACCCTTCCCGAAGCCAGATGATCCTGCGGTTTCCTTTCGGGGAGGAGGAGCACCGCTCTGCTCAAGTGGCCTACCGCCTCCCTCCCCTTCACTACCCAGCCCCTTCCTGGAATGTACTGTTATGCCACATCACAACTTCTCTGAGTCCTCACAGAGGTGCAGGGGATGACTCACCCTGCTTCTGAATAACTCCCTAAGAAGATGCATATTTATTCCACAAGTCACACCAACCATCTAATCCCAGAGGGAAAACTCCTCTGGCAGCTGAGTCTCCTTCAGCCCCATGCTCAGCCACGTGACTTTAGCTGGAGCCCCATTTAGGGCATTTCCTGCCCACACTAGATCTAAGCGTTTTCCAGTTATCTGGAGTGAGACCCCACCCTGAAACTGCCCAAGTGAGAGACACTTCTGCATCTCTGCCTTCTAGAAATCAGCAAGCCCGCACTTACCCCGCGCCCCCCCACCATTGCCCACTGTGGAAATCTATCTGGAGAGATACGAAAATCACCCTCCCCAGATCCAGTGACATTTCTTTGGTTGTTCCCAGGGGTCTGAAGTTCTCTGGCTCCACGCCCCGTCTCTGAAGACCAGCTGTGACTATGTGAGCTGCTACCGTGAGCCTGCTGCCAACGCGGAGGACACAGATTCGGATGACTATGTCAATATTCCTTACCTGACTCACCTATCCAGCTGTCCCCCTGGGCCCAGACCTTGGTGCCAATGAGCCCTGTCTAGCTGCTTGTTTCCAATACTTGCTCTGTTTTCAGAGCCCTCATTACCTCCTGCACCAGCCTCAAGTCTTGTTCCTGTCTCTTCAGAGAATAGCTCAGTAACCCCCTCCCAGCTCTTCTTGCGCACCTCTGCAGCCGCCCTGTGGTCTTCAGGTGGGCTCTGGGCATGCAGAGCATTTGTCTTGGTTGCACCAGCTTCCTCTCCAAGCTGTGGAATCTGCAGAGCGTCTTTGATCACAGGATCTTTACTGCCATGGCTCCGGACTCATGGCATCAGGCTGGAGCATAGGCATGGCTGTGGCTTTGGGAGACTTTCTCAGGCTTGGGCGTCACACCAGTGGAAGGCTCTTGGACCTCGTAGTGAGGGCATGCCTCAGCCCTGTGAGTTACGAAGGGGTCAGGTATGAAATGCCCCTGGCAACATCCTTTGCCCTGATCTTGAGGCTGCCTCTTACTAGTGAGCTTCTGTACATCTTGAGTCCGATGGTGAGGACGTTTTCTCCTGATACGATGAAATGTAAAATTTCAGAACCACGCTTGTTAGTGTTAGTGATCATATGTATACATGTCCCTAAATTCTCTTTACTGTCTCCCTCCCTTGATGCACATAAGTACCCTGACCCGTGTGTCTCCCCTGTTTTAAAAATAGCATAATTTGTGTCATCTCTTTATCTTTCTTCCACGGCTTAGCACTAACTTTGTGTACTTATCTGAATGTTGGTCTGTTTTGACCACCCCAAACTATTACATCTCTGCTTCAGAAATGCCCCCTCATTTCTTTGCCATGTAACCTGTGCCAAGGTAGGGGAGGAAAGTGGCTTCTTGGAGGGCCAGGTGCTCTGTAATAGCACTTATGTCATGAAAGGAGAGAGATTGACCCTCCAACATATACTTTCTCGTCAGTTTTCTGGGCCAGGGCAGAGGCAGACATTGCATCTCTGGACTAATGTCAACTACAAAGTCCATTCAGAGCTTGAGACTAGAGAACACCCAGTCTTGCTGTTGAGAAGAAGACCTTTCCTGGATGCATAACTCAGCCTTACTGGGCACTTGTTCACACTTAGAAAGAAGAGGCTGCCAGAAATGAGTCCCCTGCCTTTTATTAGCAGAGAGATTGGACAGTCCATCCAGGTATGATGACACCACCAGCAGTGTCGACTTGACAATGGCACCCTCTCAAGTGGCTGATAAGAATGTATAGTGTAAGAGAGGAGGGGCCCCAATGAGAAGGGATGATGGAAATGGGGTGGGGAGAAATGAAATGTTTAGTGAGGCTGCATTGTGCTGGGCACTTAGCCTGCGTTGTATCTTCTATCATTTGCCTTTCAAACTGATGCCCCTCACCTCCACCCCAATGCTCTGTTCCTACAGATCTCGTGGCAGTATGGTTTCTAGCCCATGAAGTTCAACCTCGTATCCCAGCACCCCCTCATTGATCCTCAATAATTCAAATACAGACAAAAAACCCAGTTTATTAAGCATTTACTGAGCACTCATCCACTGTCCCACATGGTGTCAAGCATTGTGGAGAATAAAAAAGAAGCATGGGGCACTGTCCCTGCTGCCTACACAGAATTTACAATGTGACAAATAAATATGACATCAGTTAAAACACTGACAGGAATTAAATAGAGTGGTAATAAATAAATCTACCTTGTAGATCATTCACAGCATCTAAGAGAACCTTCCATGATTGTCTTTGGGGCCACTTAAAGAATGAAGTCTTTGAGGACAAGCCTAGCCAAGAATGAAATCCATCATCAAGGGTGTGCAGTGCCCAGATAACATCACAAGAAGGGATACGGCACGTTGGAAATGACGTGGAGATCAAGGAGGGTCTCCTGGTCTTGGCATTCAGAACTCGTAGAATTTCTCCATCCAGGTCAAGAGAATGTCGACTTCTCCAAAGGCTTTGGTCTGGGCTGCTTGTATGTCCAACTAAAGAGAAAGGAGAGCTGACGATCTACCATATTAGCCACAAGAATAGGTTTCCTTCCCTCCCACCACTCCTGGAGCTGGCTCACCTCTGGGATGGCCTCTGAGGAGCTCACCCACCCACCCTGGTTCCTTCACAGAGGTGGGGGGAAGCACTGAGGACCAATGGACCAGTGAGTAGCAGTGGGTAAGGAGCAAGGGAAAAGCATCTGGAGTTCCTGATAACAAGAACTATAAAATCCCAGTGCAGGTTGGATTTGGCCAACTCCTGAGTCTACTATGCAGATGATGAAACTGAGGTCCAGTTGGCCCCCTTCCCCTATATATGATTACCCTTTACCATTTATTTTTAGACTGATATATCTGATCAAAATCGTATATATTTTTGTGGGGGGGTCTGGGGATGAAGTTTGGATTTTCTTTGTTGGCTTTCTTTGGGGAAACAGTAATGTATTTTCCCATGCTTTTTTTTTTTCTCTCTCACAAACTGGACCATATGAGCATAATGGAAAATACTGCAGTTATGTAGTACGTGTTTGGGGTCGGGGGCCTACTTCAGACTCCAGCTGCCCAGCCCAGTATTTGTAAAACTTTCACAGGGAAAGTCCTTAATACTGAAATCATCTTGCAGGGAAATATAAACGCATTTTAATGTGAAAACTGGCACAAAAATGGACCATGTTGTTTGTGGAGCTTGTGCAAAGTGTATGATAATTAATGCAAATATACCTGTGCTTGTGCAAAATTAGGTGGCTCTTGGGCATGCCTGCTGGAGTGACCTGCCGTGAATTCTGCAGGCACCCTCGTGTGATGGCACCCTCATGTGGCGGTTCAGGCTAATCTACTGGTGGAGAGGCAGGCTCTCCGATCCTGGCCTTGATTACCTGTTTAAATGCCCTCTGAAACAGCAGAAATCGCCTGCGTGCACTCTCGCTGATAGAAAACATCTCATTTTCCTGCTGGATAATAGAAAAAAATTGTGCCAAAGGTTGGGTAGCAGCAGAGGCAAGCCCCCCCCCTCCCCAGTGATGCCAGAGGGCTTCCCAGGGCCAGCTCTGAATCCCACATTCTCAAGGGAACCGCTGCTGAACCCCCACCGGTGGTGGAGGCTGACTTCTTTCATTTTCATAGCAATCTTGCCACGTATGGGTGATTATCTACATTTTATAGGTAAGAAAACTGAAGTTCAGAGAGGTTGACTGCCTTGCGAGGCATTATCCAGCTGGTTAGATGCAGGTCTGACCTCGAATCCAGAGCTGCTAGCGTCCAGAGCCTGTGCTCTTTCCCATGACAGCACTGAATCCCCGTCATGGAATAAATGCCAGGACTGGATAAGGGGAGGGAGAGGGTGTCTCCCCAAAACACATCGCTTCCCATGGGCTCCCCGGTAGCAGCATTGTTCTACTCACGCTGGGTTGTAGTTTTGATGCGATGACAAAAAAGTTGTTGGCCAGAGTAGAGAATGACCTCCGGATCCTGACGTCAGTTGCCTCATCCAGGTAGTTTTTGAAAACGGTGTTCAAGTAGAACTTCAGCAGGGCACGGATGAGGTAACAGCTCTCGGCATCCTGGGGAGGGTCTGGGTTACTGCGGCGTCGAGCCCTGTGCCCACCCTGACCCCAGATGGACAGCCCACATGCCACACGAGGCGAGATAAGCACATAGAGAAAGAGATTTCCCAGGAGATGTTGAGCATTTGATCCAAAGGGAGCATTTGATCCAGGTGGGGGGTGGGGGGCACACAGAGGGGCACCTGTGGTTTATGGGAGGAACCACTGACCCAGGGAGGGGGGACACACAGCCAGCCAGTGGCAGATGCAGACCTAGGCCCCAGGAGTCCTGACTCCCCATCTGCTTAGTCTTCTTTCCCTACACCACATGGCCTCTCTGATAGCTATTGGGGTTGGCGGGTGGTGGTGATGGAGCCTGAAAAGTACCCGACACTTGGTGGCTCAGAGCTGAGAGTCTAGGGAAAGAACTGGAAACAGAAATGAGAAATGCAAACTAACACCCTGGAACACAGTGATTGTACTCGAGCCCCCGTGAGCACCGGTGAACCTCAGTGCCTTGCAGGGATCAAGGCTCGGTGCATATGCTCGCTGACTGTCTAGCTGGGTGAGGGGAAGGCACAACGGGTGAGGAAGAAGGATGGGAACCAACCAAAGAGACCTAAGCAGATGTGGAATCCTGGCAAGTCTGGATAAATGGAGAAAAAGATGCTTATGAGCCCTAATCCCCACCATCTTCCATGCCATGTAGCCCAGGCACTGGGGTGACGACCCAGACCTCGGCCTGGGCAGAAGTGGTCTCTGTCAACCTCCCCTAGACCACCCGTAGAAGACAGGCCACCAGAGAGAGGCATCGCCCTTCCCCGACGTCTAATTACCGAGACATCCTGCAGAACCTCCTTCCGTAGCAGCCGGACACTGGTGATGTTATCCTTAGCTTGCTTTGGGGACAGAGAGCAAAGATGAGTCCAGCTTGAGGGACAGCACAGAGACCCACCTTGCAAACACACGCTGACCCCCAGATCCATGCAGTCTGAGATCTCAGAGGCCAGAGGAACCAAGGGAGGACCCAGGAAAGGCTGAGCGGAGATAGCCTGTGGGGTGAGGGCACCGCTTTCCAGCCAGAAATCACTCCCCTTAACCCTCGGGGGCAGATGGAATCCCAGGAGCTCTCGGAGCCTTGGTAGGGGACCTTTTTGGTTCCCCTGGTCAGGAGGGGGCAAGCCTCTTGGGTTTAAGAACGAACGGGGGCAATGTTCTGCCTTCATATTCCGTGGGGGTTGGCTTGGGGTGGGGGCTGCACCTCTCAGCTGCCTCTTGCCCTTGGAGCCTCCTCTGCAACCAGCCACATCCTTCAATTCTCAGATTATAGTCAAAGCATCCTCGTGAGAAGGGAGCTTTCGAGCTTGTACCCACACCCACAACGTGCCACCAAGGAAGGTGATGGGGGGGCGGGTACTGTGCCTGGTTTCAAGGTCAAGGTCGCACCCGGCTGTCCTGTCCCCAGTCCAGCGCTCTCCCCTCCTCCAGGCTGCCTCACCGTGCTCCCTCT